TTCGTTCAACACATTTGGAAGCAAACAACACCAGTTTACAAGAAACTGGTAACTGCCACAGCAAGAGGCTTCCTCCTGAAGTCCATGACCGAAACGGTGGAGGCAGCCACCACCTTCCAATTTGGGAACGAGATTCGTTCCGAACTTCCAGAGGATGTTCACATTGAACATCTTTACAAGAAAATCCTGAGAAGGATCTCAGTGGAAAATTTCGTGGTGCCTGGGACCAAATGGTCATAATGTACCCATTCGTTCTAAAGGAAAAATAAAAGTGTACACCAGTAAATTGGTATTGTTCCATACCAAAGGTATTGCCCTAGGTTAGCTACTAACGAGAGATAGTGAACCTGGCTAATCATCCTTAGACTGTTCCATCTAAGGGAGATGTTGAAATCAGATGACCTACAGTCTTCTGTAGAATAGCTGTAACATTCTCAGTATGATTACGGATAGCCTTGGTAATCTTCTGTAACCGGACGGCCCTGATCTGAAGGACTCCCGCCTTCAGATCAGTGTTCATAAACGACCCTGAAAGACTTCCGTCCTTCAGTAGTGATACTCTCCACTAGGGTATATATACTGGTAATAAAGACTCGCACAAGGGAGGAGCTACTGATTCACAACGAATCCCTGTATCTTTATTCCGCCGTGATCTTCCAGGCTCACAGCTTACTTTCAGATCTAGTGTCCACCGACTGACCACCAGTGGGTTATATCCAACAAAGGCACCTGGCACAGATGGGGTCCCGCCGGAGGCAGTCAAATTACTCATGCAAAGATGGCCCAGAGTCTTTGCGAACATGGTAGATCACATTCTGGCGGAGGGAGTTTTCCCGGAAAGATGGAGAACGGCCAAGCTGACACTCATACCGAAACCGGGCAAAAAGGATGCGTTCAGACCGATATGCTTAATAGACACGGTTGCGAAAGCCGTCGAAACGATTCTAAACCGGAGACTACAGGAGGAACTAGAAGAAAAGGGAGGTCTTTCCGACAGACAGTATGTCTTTCGACCGAGGAGGTCCACACTCACAGCCTTGGAGAACGTATACGACGCTGTGGTCACGGAGCTGCGGAAACCGCCGTGGAGGAGATCGAGTACGCTCATTGTCCTGCTCGATGTAAAAAACGCCTTCAACTCGGTGAGATGGAAAATTATCATGAGAGCTCTACAAGAGAAGGGTATCTCGGGATATCTTCAGAGAGTTCTATCATCGAACCTCGAAGACAGACGAATCACGGACGAAGACGGCAGGACACACAGGATGACAGCCGGAGTCCCCCAGGGCTCCGTGCTAGGTCCAACTTTGTGGAACGTCGCATACGACGGTGTTCTGCGGCTACCTTTACCGGAGGGAGCTCGCAGCATCGCATACGCAGACGATCTCGCCCTCCTAGTCACGGCGAAGAATCTGACGGAACTCGAAGAGATCGCACAGGAAGCACTCGACAGGATAGCAAGATGGATGAAAGAAAATCAGCTGGAACTAGCCCCCCAGAAATGCGAGGCACTTGCGCTCCTCAAACGGAGGACCGATGGCAAACCGAATATCTGGCTAGAGGGCGAAAAAATCCAGGTGAAGGATCACTTAAAATATCTGGGGGTCATACTAGAAGAAAAACTCTCCGGGAAGACGCATCTCAAAGAGACGCTAGCGAAAGCAACCCAAGCAGCGATGAGCTTGGCCACGATCCTACCACGGACGTATGGAGCAAGCGAAATACAAAGAAGAATGCTGGCCTCCGTAGCCGAATCAATAGTCATGTATGCAGCGCCGATCTGGGCACCCAGAGCTCTAGAGTCCCAGAAACATAGAGACCTACTGGAGAAGACTCAAAGAGTAATGGCCATAAGAACCGCGAGGGCATACAGGACGATCTCGACGGACGCCGTCCTAGTCTTGGCTAGGGCGACCCCCTGGAGCCTCCTGGCGAGCGAAAGAATAAAGCTCTACGAAGCAAAGAAAGGAGAGAATCGAGAATATGACGAAGGAGAAGACGAATCAGAACGTACGACCGAAGAAGACATAAAGCACTGCACGCTCCAAGCATGGCAGGAAAGATGGGACAGTTCCTCATGTTCCTTAATAAAATAAAATAAAATAAATAAAATAACTCCTCGAAGTGTCCTAGATTCAAGGAGCTGCTCGGAGACCAACTGAGCAAGAAGGCTCAAGGGAAACCAGCGCCTTCCGAGCAGGAGGAACCCGCGCAGAAGCAAGATAGCGAAAAAGCGGACCCCAAGGAGAACACAGGGACTGCTTCACAGGAAGGCGAGACTACGGGAAGCGGAGGAAGCGAACCCATGCAGACCGAAGAGACCGGGGCGAAATGGAAACTCGTCCAGAGCAGAAGGAAACAAAACAACAGAGATCACGATGATAAAGATAGTCCAGATAAACCTCAATAGGATCGGGGCCGCGCATGCCGCCCTGGAGAACCTCGTACAAAATGAGAAAATAGACATTTGTATCATCAGTGAAGCGAACAGGAAGATATCCGAAGAACTTAGGAAAGGAGATGAAGGGTGGTTCGCAGACGAAGGAGGCGACACGGCCATCTGGATCACCGGGGCGAAAGCACAGCTCAGAATCATGAGCTCGAACACAGTGCGCGGACTCACACACATAGAGCTAGAAGACGGAGTCAACATAGCGAGCTGTCATTTCTCCCCAAATGAAGATGACGATGAATTCACGGACTATCTCGAGCGCTTACAGGACCTTCTGAGAAATAAGCATGCATCCACATGGATAGTAGCGGGGGATTTTAACGCAGCCTCGCGCACCTGGGGAAGCCGAAGAACATCGCGCAGAGGATATGAGGTCGAAGAACTGGCGGCCACAAACGGACTGTTTATACTCAACGACGGTGAGACTCCGACGTTCAGAAAAGGGACTCTGGAGTCCTACATAGACATCAGCCTGAGAAACAGGCCGGATCTCATGGGACACTGGGGCGTTGATGACAACACGGAGCTGATAACTCATAACAATACAATAATAAACAGTCAGTATCGAGACTCATGCTAGAGCTTGTGTCAATCAGCTCGTCATCAGTACACCACGAAATAAGGTGAAATGAACAGAACAGGGTGTCAGAATCGGGATTGGATTTGCGAGCTTCAGAAGATGCCAAGAGGAGAAAACGGAAACATCGCTACCACCGGAGTGACAACGCAGGCAGGTATGGCGGAAATGCTGATGCCGAGCCCACCGCCTCCATTTGACGTATCGCCAGACGATCTCTTCGAGGCCTGGAGAAACTTCTGGATGGACTTTAAGGTATACGCGAAAATGATGAAGATCGACAAACAAGACGAAGAGATCAGGGGGAGTCTCCTCCTAAAGGCTCTTGGTCATCCAGCTCGCCGATGGCTTGAGACTAAGAATGTCAACGAGGATACCGAGAGGTACGAAGACATTGTGGAAAAAATCGAAAAACACTGCGAAAAATCGGTATCGGAAGCCTTGCGGGACTTCAGGTTCTGGTGCAGAGAGAAAGATCAACAAGCCGGTGAGTCTTTCGAGGCATTCTTCGAGAGAACACGTCGGGCAGCGCTTCAGAAGAGACTCTTGGCAGAATCGGAAAAGAGGCGTTCACTCGAAGATGTTTTAACGCTCTGTCGAGGCTTCGAGGCTGGAGAGAAAAATGCGGAGATAGTCGCTCTGCAGTCCCAGGACTCCAAAATAGTGGCAGCCATAGAGAACAATGGAAACTTCAGCGAGGAGAAGAAGGACTCAACATTGCAGGCTTCGGCGAAGTGTGTCAACCGTGCGGCAGGAGCCACATCGGAAGACCGTGCTTCGCGAAAAATGCTCAATGCCTGGCGTGTGGAGGGCGAAACCATTTCGCACGAGTGTGTCGGGCTAAGGGAAGGAAACACGAAAATCACTCTGAAGAGCAAGCAACCAGCAGAAGAGGACAAATGGGAAGACCGGGGCGAGACAAAGATAATGGAAGAAAGGTATGGAATTTCCGAGCGGAGGATGAAGACGAGGAGGACGACTTTCGGATCGGTCGAATCCAGAAAGACAAGAATGACAAAAAATCCTCACGCTGGGATGAGAAGCTCAACCTAGCCGGACGAGAAGTACAGTTCAAATTGGATACGGGTGCTGAGGTATCGGTACTTCCGAAGTGCCTCATGAAGGAAATCATGGCAATCGTCGAAGGAGTACGCCTAGAAAAATCATCAATTCGACTTGTTTCTTACTTCGGTGACAAGCAGAGAAGCTCAGCCATGGTTAGACTACCATTGTCCTACAGGAACAAGCGAATTAAAGAAGAATTCTGTGTCATAGAAGCGAATGTCATGCCCACGGTAATTGGAGACACTGCGCAGACACCGGGTCTCCCAAAACGAATCGGAATGCCAAAAAAGGAAAAAGAATCGGACGAAGAACTGAGCAGATGGGAACAAAAGTACCACCCAGCATTCAACGGCGTTGGGGCGGTGGAGAACTTCAGATGCTCGATAGGAATTGCAAGCGACTGCAGACCCACAATCAATGCCTGCAGGCCCGTGCCCAAGGCGTATGAGAGAGCAGTCGAAGCGGAATTACAAAGGATGCTCGAGAAAAACGTCATTGTACCGCTGAGGGAGCCTACGGAATTTTTGAGGAACATAGTAACAGTCCTCAAACCCAATGGTAAACTAAGTATATGCCTCGACCCAACCCAGCTGAACCGATTCATCAAACGAAGTCCACATCCAATGAAGAGATTGGACAACGTGCTAGGGAAACTCTCTGGAGCGAAATACTTCAGCACTCTCGATGCCGACGAGGGCTTTTGGCAGGTCGAGATGGATAGACAGAGCTCACTCCTATGCTCCTTCATATGTCAATTCGGAAAGTTCCGCTCCACAAAGATGCGATATGGAATCAAATGCGCCTCCGATGTATGCCAGCAACTGACCGATGAATTGATCGGGGATCTCGAAGGAGCGACATGCGTCGTGGACGACTTGCTGATCTGGGGATCGACGGAAGAGGAGCATGATCGAAGGCTCGAAGAGGTGCTCAAGAGGTATGTGAAAGTGGGCCTGGTGCTCAATAGAGCCAAATGCAAAATCAAAAGACCAGCGGTGCGGTACCTCGGACATATCTTAACAAGAGATGGAGTCCGGTTGCATGAAGAACGATTGGAAGATATATCAGCATTCAAGGCACCAAAGGATGTAAAGGGAGTGCAAAGCTTCTTGGGAATGCTGAACTACGTGGCACAGTTTATCTACAGCTTCTCAGAAAAGACGGCCCCGTTGCGCAAACTAATCAACAAAGACACGGTGTTCGTCTGGAGCGCAGAGCAACAACGAGCGTTTGAGAATCTGAAGCAAGATCTCACCAAAGACAACGTTTCTAAGAACTACGACCCAAAAATCCCTCGCGTTCTATCGGTAGTCGCCTCCCAGAATGTGCTAGGCGCCGTTCTGCTACAATCTGGACTACCGATCGCCTATGCCAGCCGCTCACTTACCGAGAGCCATGTGGAATCGAGCTACGAGTGAACAAGCCGGGGAGCCGGGAATGACTGGCTTGAACGCGCCAGTAGATCTGTTTTTATTATTGTGCGTCTGCGCGTTGAGCGCGCCTCAATTTAAACGCTGCGACATGACATACTTCCTCTCTAAGAAAACTACTTCCTCCTCCTAGGTATGATGAACTCGCCAAGATGAGTGGGTGTCTTTCGCTGTCGGATGGGGTACCGACTCCGACCGTCGCTGTTCGTTTTAGGGACCGCTGCCAACGCTCGAGCATTCCACGTCTTTCCATCGCTCATTCTGAAGGAAGATTGCCCAACTTGTTCGGCGATCCTGGTGGGCGATGAGTACTGCCAACCCCCCTTGGCGACGATGCCGGGTTTCTTGATACGTACCACATCTCCCTCGCGTAACCTTGTCCCTCCAGGATCCTTCCGCTCATTGGCCTTCTCCATGTATGCGTCTTGGCGCTCGAGAACTCGTTCCCTGACTTCTTTGAAGGAACAGGTGTTGTTTTCGATGATTCCGTCCGTGATTCGGAGCGCCGATCTCATCGGTCTCCCATGTAACAGCGTTGCTGGCGGCTGACCCGTCATCGGATGAGGGGTATTTCGGTAATCTGACAACATTTCTTGTATCGCCACATTAAAATCTTTTCCGTGATATGACATCCGCACCGCGGTTTGGATATAATTCCCTAACACCTGATTGAACCTTTCTACCAGTCCGTTGGCGGACGGGTTATACACTGCCGTTTTACAATGCTCTATTCCCCGTTGCTTGAGGAACAACCTGAATTTCTCGCTCATGAATTGAGGACCATTGTCCGACACAATCTCTGACGGAAGCCCTCCGACCGCAAACACCAATTTTAAGAAGTCTACAATTTTCTCGGTCGTGGTCTCCGGCATAAATTGAACAATCGGCCTTATTTGAGTAGTAATCCTCCAAGACAACCGCGTATCGATACGCAGCGGGGAGCTTCCAGTGTGGGCCACGAATGTCTATTCCAATCTTCCTCCAAGGACCATCGGGAGGGCGCACCACCTGTGCTCAGGGGCGTTCCCAGGATTTTTTTTTGGGGGGGGGGGNNG